AAAAGAACCAGCCTAAAAGTCTACCTCCAGAGAAAGGCAACGCCCGGCCGATTTCGGCCGGAGACCATCAAGCAAGACAAAAGGGACGGTCGTTGCCAGAATCGAACACCACACCTGCCAAACCCATACTACAGAAACTCAATCAAGAAAGACAAAGAAGAGACTACTCCTCTGAGATATCCATCGGCACCAGCCCGGATCTCTCAATCCCGCTGTGATGAAATATGTTAAAATACATACAGACTCACTTTACATTTGAGGAGACTCTGCCCGGATACTTACTGACTCAATGTTCTAGGCCAGGAAATCCATTCACCCGACAATCAGGGACATTTGGTGAATGGAAACTGGTTGGAATTCTAGCCTGGGGACATAAAATCCCTATAAAAACCCAGGCCAGGGGACCCTCAGACGTGGATTTGGGAACACCTATACCTTGCGTATAGACCCTGTCCACCCAGCGCTGCGCTGTCCATTTATTGTGGTTTTTTTCCTCACTGTTTGTTGCTTTATTAATTTATAATAAATTAATCTTTGTTAATCTTTAATTTGCCGTTGCATTTATAACAATACCGTAAACCCCAAAGAATCTTTCCTGTTATATTTTTAGTGTGAAGATCTGGGTGTGTGAACAGTGGTGGTGAGCTCCATTCATAATAGTGCAGCAGGCAACCTCTGCAGCACTCCAGACTTTGCAAAAATTACCTTCCTCTACACAAAACACAATGGCTTAGTTGCACAGTCTAAAATCTCATCTAGAGAAGACTGCAGACCTCAGAACCAGCAAAGTTGTGCAGGGGCTAACTTTGAGCACCAAATCTGTACTGTCCAAAACTTTAGGCCTTTCAAAAGTACAACTCAGGGAAGGGAAATAATGTTTTGCTCCCCTTCAGCGTATTTCATGTGTAGCTCTCACTCTCTGGGGGCTTCAGAGAGGATTCATCATCTGTGTCTATTTTACAGGGGCACAAAGTTACGGTGATTTCTGTGGCCCTGCTAGGGGCAGGATTATTTTCCAGTTTGACACCTTCCAGCCTGGGCTGCAAGAGCAGTTTGTACTTACAACTTCTTTGCAAATCCAATCTCCCTGTTCAAAGCCTAGCTTTAACAGAGCAATGGCTTTAATTTAACCCTGTCCAGTTGAGATGTGATGTTTGTGTGGACGAATGATGTAAGTCTGAACTGTGAAGAGTAGATGGGAGGGCACGGCTGAAGTGCTGATATTCACAGCTGCCTCCTTGCAGTAAGAAAAAGACACAAAAGTAGTGCACAGGATGGAAGAGCACTTGTACACAAAGTGCCTCAGAGATGCTGGATTCTGGTTAGTGCACACCCCTCCAGACACAAGGTGATTATGCTACCTCTGCGTGGCCTTCTGCAAACGTATCAACTTGCTCTGCCCCATTCTCTGATCAGGCCGGATGAGAACCGGCTCTAGTCCAAAAACTGTGTAACTGTGGTTAGCCTGCTGTGCTACTTGAGTATCTAAGCCCAGCTCTCAACCTCTGCTTGTGAAAAGCTGTGGAGATGTAGGCAGCTGT